TGACAGTCGTGTCCTCCATCCGTTTGCCTCACGCTTTGGCGACATTGTGACGGTCTTTGGAGTTGCCCGGCTTCCCAGAGTTTGGATCGAACGAACTTGCGGTCAGCTGTTTCAACCAGGAGCTGGAACGAGTTTTGTTGCCAATAGTTGAGAAAAGAACAGAGCTTGAGGATGCCATTGTTTCGGAGAGTGCTCTGTGCAAACACTCGCCTTTCTTCACATCTTTATCACGCCTTTTCGTTCAATTTGTTGTGTCCAGCGCTTGCCACCCACCTTTTTGCCTGAACCGTGGTCCAAGATGTCCAAGTTGCAAAGAGCAGGTTTCATCATTTTTAACATTTGAAAGCATCCTTTTGAAAAGTTCATGCCAGATGATGGTCTTCACGTCTTCATTTTCATGGAAATTGTTGTAAGCCCTTTGGAAGCCCCTTGTCAATGAGAAGCCATTTCCGTGCTGAATTTTGTGCCCTCTGCCATCTCATCTTGTGGAGAACAGAACGTCGAGTTGTATCAACACAAGTCACAACCTCCGCACGGAAGAACACCACAAACCTCATTGAGATTCTAAACCAAATCAGAGACACCGACAAGCGAAAGGCGGCAATCGCGGGATTTTTGGAGGAAAGGCTGGAGTCAGAGAAGAAGTTGGCGTTGGCGGAGGAAAGGCTGGAGTCAGAGAAGAAGTTGGCGTTGGCGGAGGAAAGGCTGGAGTCAGAGAAGAAGTTGGCGTTGGCGGAGGAAAGGCTGGAGTCAGAGAAGAAGTTGGCGGAGGAAAGGCTGGAGTCAGAGAAGAAGTTGGCGTTGGCGGAGGAAAGGCTGGAGTCAGAGAAGAAGTTGGCGGAGGAAAGGCTGAAGTTGAAGTTGGCGGAGTCAGAGAAGAAGTTGGCGTTGGCGGAGGAAAGGCTGAAGTCCCAGAAGGAAATCCATGAGCTGCATGCCCAAATTGCAAATGTGGAGATTCTTCATGCCAAAGGGCTGCTGACAGCCAGAGGTGTTTTTGAGAGAGCAGCTCATTTGGCGTTTTTCGAGATGAACCTGAAAGGCGCAGTCAACACTACACAAGCCTTGCGGGAGGTAGGCAATGCTTCAAAGCTCGGAGTTTGGACGCAACATCTTCGCGATGCTGCGGCGTACTGCGCCCCCAAAGAACAGACAAGTGACCTGCTCATCTCAGTTTGGCAGGAATTGTCCTTAGACGTTCATGGCTTCAGCTGGAAAGGGCCAGATGTTCAATTCAGTGCTTCGTTGTCAGAGCAGGCCAAATGTGTAGTGGAAGAGCTTTGCAAAAAAATGGGCTTGAAAATAAAGAAAGCGTCATAAACACGTTTCACCGCTCATGTGCGCAAAGGAAAAAAGAGTCCGCCTGCTTGAATTACCATGCGCTGGACAATAGGCGAACCCAAACAAGCTGCCATTTGAGGGAGGGCCCGTTGTTTCCTGCATCCACACACACACACGTCCAATATCTGGGGAGCTTCGGCACTTCTAATCCCGAGATTCGGAAACCCCACCCCAATAAGGGAAAAACAGCACTCCAATCCCCGAACCCCGAAACACCGTTTTCCCGTATCAGAAATCCCTGAAACCCAGATTGGGAAACCCACGAAAATGTAGCATATAGGATTTGGACAGGTTTGCACAGATGTCCACTTCAGAAACCTTTGCATTGAAGTCCGAAGGGACTGGAAAAGATTTGCGTTGACATCGCATCATTGTATCATCTATCTTGAATAGATATTTACTTATCAATGTTGGCATTGATGTGTTGGAAAGACAATGCACAAAACCCAGAGACCCAGCATCACCCCGGCAATCCTTTTGTCTTGCAACATTTCTGCCCGACTTGAGGTTAAAAAGTCATCACTGATGAGACCTTTTTGAAGGTGCGTCCCAAGCAATGAATGAATGGATGAATGGATGGATGGATGGGTTGATGGATGAATGGACGGACGATTGGAACAATCATGAAGATGAGGACGACCGACGACGACCATGAGGACTGACAATTCCACACACGCATACATAGACATACATATATACATAGACATACATACATATATACATACATATATACATATACATATACATATACATATACATACACATACACATGCACACACACACACACACACATTTTTGGGTACGAGTGAAAATACAAGGTATGGATCAAGGCCCCGAACCCACACACGATCCATACCCTGTGGTACTGCATGATCCATACCCTTGATCCATACCCCTTTCTCATTGAAGAAAGATTGATGCTGGCCCTAATGCTGCTTTTTATCCTAATACTGCTTCTGGTCCTCGTACTGCTACTCCCGTTGCTACTACTGTTGCTACTACTGTTGCTACTGCTGCTTCAGCTGCCTCCGCTGCCTGCTGCTGCTGCTGCTGCTGCCACTACTAGTCATCTTCCTCCCAGGAGCTGCTGCTACTGCTGTCGCTTCTGCTGCTGCTCCTGCTGGTCCTGCTCTCGCTGCTGGTGCTGGTTCACTTCCTCCGTGTGCTTCTGGTAGTTGGACAAATGCAACTAGTTGAGTAGCTACTACCAATATTGCAAGCGCACCTTGGAGGCTAGTAAGACCGGTTCTAGTTCCACTAGGTGCTTCTTGTACTTCTAGTGGCGCTATGATTACAACTCCTTCTGTTTCTGCTTTGCCTGGCACGTGTAGAACTAGACTAGACTTGAAATACCCCGCTCTCTTCCTCCACAGCCATAGCGTGAAAGCCGGCCCAGATAGCGTGTCCCGATCCATACCCCGATCCATACCCGTTCCATACCCGATCCATACCCGAACCCAGTCACGCCACAACAAATGCCAATATGAAAGTCCGATTCTATTACTACTTCTACTGCTGCTGCTTCTACTACTACTACTTCTTCTCCTGCTGCTGCTGCTGCTATTCCTACTCCTACTCCTACTACTCCTAGTACTACTGCAGCTGCTACTGCTGCTACTACCATTAGATTACTATTATTTTTATTATTATGACTTTTATTAGTACTACTGTTACTGCTACTGCTATTTCTACTGCTGCTGCATCTTCTCCTTCTATTGCCACTACTGCTGCTGGTGCTGATCATCGCACGATCGGTCACCTGTGGCGGTTTGTCTCGTGTCACTCGTGTCGCTCTGAGGCCGTGTGCCAGTGAGACAGCCTCTTCGTGCTATGAGGATGACTGAGGGCAAGTTGGGCCTAAAGAGTTGCCATTGAGCACAAGATGTGGCTCGTGGCGCAACATGTTGGCAGGACATGAGACATTGATCGCATTTGATCGCCTATGATCCGTGTACTAGTACCTTTTTTTGTTTTTGTTTGCACCTGCATATACCCCCACAGAGCTATAAAACAACTGATAAGATATACTGAAAGGTACAGGTAACTACACAAAACTGGATGCTGTGGGTGAGCAACTGGCACGCGGGTGGACATCACTTGGTTTGGAGAGGATGGTTCGGGAAGTACGTCCAATGACATATATGGATGGGTGACATGATGGTGATAGTCATGATTGTGTCAAGAGTGTATCTTGAACATAGGTCATATATGGTCCATATCATGCCATATCGGCCATAATTAGGTCATATATGGTCATATCATGCCATATCTTGTAATTAGTTTGATCATTAGTTTGAAAAATCATGAAAGCCCATGCAATTTGGTGTTTTTTTGGGTTTCCACCAAAAGCCATACCCAAAAAACGACAAGCGAAGCGAAGCTCTGTGGATGTCACGTCCTGGCAGCTGAAAAACCCCAATCCCGCTGCGGTTTCGGATGGAGCGGGGGTTGGTTCCCCTGAGAAATTGTGGTCATGTGGTTAAGAAATGTTCAGATTGCAAAGTGGAGAGGTCGAAATCCGGGAGCTGCGAGCAGCTCCATCTGTAGAATAGGAAGCCTGTTGAATTTGCCAGCTCACGCGTGAGAAAAACACGTTCTCAGCCTGGGCGCTGCCTTACGATCCCAGGCTGCAATGATTGTGGTTTTTTCTATAGTTATAATGCACTGCAATACTATATGGTGTGTGTCTCAAAATGGCTTAATACCCATGAAATAGTCACTTATTGTTTATGGGAAAATGATGGTTAACGAGAGGATTCAGAAGTACCTTTGTTTTCAGACAAAGCTATATATGTTCCATGCTTTGGGACAATCACAATTGACTCACACTTTGAGGATGGCTTGGAACCACGAGCCAAATACACATGGTTTCCATTTGCAGCGGAAAGAGTCACATTCATTGTCAGTTGTTCGTCAGTATGAAGCAAAGATGAATGTTATAGTTTTCCTTCAAATGCCATCCACTCTTGGGCTATGATCGTTCTATGATAGTCGGACTCATGATTCCCCTATTGTGCCACCCACACATTCCCCTATGGAATGCCTGGGATTGGATTTCTCAATGGTGCCACAAAAAATGGCTTGTGTCTCATCATCCGTTTTCTGTGGTAAACCAATGTCATAAAACCACCATTTTTTTTGGATGGTTTACAAAAAAATGTAAACATCCCACGGATAACAAAATGGTGATGACTTGGGGATGATTTATGGCATTGCGTGACTGCCACATTTAAATCTTCTACAGTACATTTTGTATGTCCTTTGTGAATCCCTCATTTCATAGCGGCGACAGCTGATGAACTTGTGATGGATGGAGAGTCGGATGGTTACCAGCGTTTCGCATCAAGCAGAGTTTGTGCTAAAAGCAAGTTTTCAGGTAGTATATATATATATATATATATATACGTATATCTATACAACTTATATATTATATACACACATAGATGGAGTGGCAGTGAAGTCTTCCTACTTCGAACTTGGCTTAAAAGAGTTGGGACCTGTGTGAAGAAACCAGCCCTAGGAGGAGACTTGGACCAGCATTAGGGATCAAGATGTATCACTAAGGAACACAGGAGCCTCTACGATTGGCCATGAAATTTGCACTCACTACAGGTGAATATGTCACACGCGGCTCATAGAGCACTGAGATCTTCGCTGCCATGCCTTTTGTTTCTCTGGCATGTTGTTTTCTGGTGCCTTACATTGAAACTTGGTGGCATTGGCCTATTTTTCATGAGGTCTGAATCAGCTATCAGTTCCCTGCACTGTCTCTTTTAGAAACTTGCCAGATCTTTGATATCCCAGCATTGTGCTCATCAATGCCCACACAGTGACATATGTTTTTGCCACCATGTTTGGATTTACTCGCCCCAAGCTTCATGTCTTGATTCAAGGTTTACAGGAATCAGGAAATATGCATATCTCATCATATCTCCATCAAGAGTATTGTGTCATGTTTCAGACATTTTCAGATTATACACTGTCACATCCCCTTACGTAGGCACGGTTTTTCGTATATATATATATACATATACACATGATAACCGTATACCTATATAATTCCCATATAATATAATATTTTAATATAATATATAATATAATATAATATTTTATTATATTATATTACTATACATATATATATATATACATATATATATATGAGCGCTCATATATATATATATTTACATATATATATACATATTCCCTTTATTATTATTATTATTTTATTATTATTCCGGGCGAATATGTCCCAGAAATCCATATATAATATAAATCCCATGTAGCGATTTCGCAATCATGGCACCTATCATATCTCCCACGAAGGTAACTACTGTGGCCGACGACCATCGCTCGACCGCACCAAAGAACGTCTTCCATGCGCGGCAGTTGCTGCACTGGGAGCAGAGTTCGACCGTTGAGGCGGAAGGGTGCTTACAGGGGGCGATATACATGACCGGTGTCAATAATAGTGGATTGCTAGAACCCAGTTTCCATGAAATCCATTTATATCCATTATGTTCAATTGCTATGTTTGATTACCACTAACCATTTGAGCAGTGCTCCAGACCCCGAAAATTCATGATTATATAGTCATTATTGTTTTGATCATGAACATATTGGGATACAACAAGACATAAGTGGATAATACTGGATATAAGTGATAAATGATGGTTGATTGATGATTGGCTAGGGGGCGTGCACCACTTGGGGGTTACCCCAAGCCATCATGAGAACCCTATCAACGAAGCAGTATTTCATGGAATGACAGAGTTTTTTGTTTTAACATTGTTCAAATTTATTTCGCTACTGTTTTTCATGCTTATTCTTGCTCAATCCGAATTTGGTGTTTTTTGGTGAGTGGAAACGTCAGCCTGATGGTTTGATCAGGCCAGGTGCTTTGCCAAATGGGCTAGTAGGCTAGCATGCTTGCAGTCCTGATTTAGAATTGAACACACCGAAACATACTTGCCAATATTTTAGTGATTATACCATATTATACCTTAACCCGGGAAGTACCCATGTACCAAACAATCAGGGTAACAGTCCAATTGTTAACTTGTTTAATAGCTTGTTCAGCCCTAAGTTTTGCTACCAATGGAAATGGCTCAAACTCACCCCAACAATGGTTGGTTAAGACGACCAGATGTGCTGCAGTTGGGCTTACCACATGAAAATTAATGCACCCGCTATTTAAACGTTCCAATGGCAGCTCCAGCATTTGTGGATGAATTTCCCAGAAAAAACCTCAATTTATAGTGAATTTCCCAGCCACGTTTGATGACACCGGAGGGTATCTGAAAATTCAGGGGAAATCCTCAGTCTCCCATTGGGTTTTCCTCATCTCCCTCTGGAAATTGCCGACTGGAGCCTTTTGCCTTCGGCATCCTTCGGCACGTCGATGGGATCGATGTATCCATGGGATTCGGAAATCTTTGAATAACTGAAATGGATGGCAACTAAAGATTTGAATCGTACCTGCGGCCCCAAAGGATAGCTAAGTTGCCAAACAAAACCCAGACTCGCTAGTCAGATGGAATTAGCCTCCGGTGTCATCAAACATGGTTTGCTGGAACATATTCCATTTAATGTTGGCGTCTGATTAGTGTGAGGAGGCCCCGCCCCCCCCTCAAACTACTTTTGTCTACTGAATAATTAGCAGTTTTTTTCCGCCCCCCCCCTCAACATTTTTTGCGGGTATTTACTTTTAATTGATTTCAATTTACTTTCATTTTACTTTCAATTTACTTTCAATTGACTTTCAATTTACTTTCATCTGATTTCAATTTACTTTCAATTGATTTCAATTTACTTTCAATTGATTTCAATTTACGTTCAATGTACTTTCAATTGAGTCAATGATTTCAATTTAATTTAATTGATTTCAATTTTACTTTCAAGTGATTCAATTTACTTTCAATCTTGCTTGCAAGGTTTTTTTTTTCAACCCCAAAAGTTGCTTGGCACAATAGAGTACCATCCAAACATTCATATTATTGAGTAACTGAGCCACTCATGGGGTACCACCTTGAAAAATTGTTTGGATGCTGTTTTTTAATAAGGGGTTAATAAGGCATCTAATTATTTGGAAAACCTTGCATTTTAAAGCTTTAATACAAATATGGTTTCCTAAAGTAAATGGACCAGCTTTATTCAAAGAAAGGTGGAGAAAGGGTTTTTTTTTTTTTTTTCAACCCCAAAAGTTGTTGGGCACAATAGAGTACCATCCAAACATTCATATTATTGAGTAACCGAGCCACTCAAGAGGTACCCCCTTGAAAAAAATGTTTGGATGCTGTTTTTTAATAAGGGGTTAATAAGGCATCTAATTATTTGGAAACCTTTTTGCATTTAAAGGTCTGTGGGTAAAAAGCTGTCTGGGTGTAAAAGTGTCTGTGTGTAAAAGATTCTGTGTGTAAAAGCGTCTGTGTGTAAAAGTGTCTGTGTGTAGAAGCGTCTGTGTGTAAAAGCGTTTGTGTGTAAAGTGTCTGTGTGTAAAAGTGTCTTTGTGTAAAAGCGTCTGTGTGTAAAAGGGTCTGCGTGTAAAAGCGTCTGTGTGTAAAAGCGTCTGTGTGTAAAAGCGCCTGTGTGTAAAAGCTTCTGTGTGTAAAAGCCTCTGTGTGTGAAAGTGTTGTGTTTAAAAAGCTTCTGTGTGTAAAAGCGTCTGTGTGTAAAGGACTCTGTGTGTAAAGGAGTCTGTGTGTAAAAGCGTCTGTGTGTAAAAGCGTCTGTGTTCAAAAGCGTCTGTGTGTAAAAGCTTCTGTGTGTAAAAGCTTCTGTGTTTAACATGGTCTGCGTGTTTAATGTAAAAGGTTAGTCGGGTTGTTGGGGGGGTGGGTGTGTGGGGGTTGGGTGGGGTAAAAGCGTCGTGTGTAAAAGGAGGCCTGTGGTTAAAGTGTTGTGTGTAAAAGTTCTGGTCTGTGTGTAAAATGCTCGGTTAATTATTTTGTGAGGGTTGTTGGGTGTGTCTGTGTTTGGCGGTTAAGAGGAGTCTTGTGTAAAAGTTGTTCTGTGTTGTAAAAGCGTCTGTGCCGTGCACAGGAGTCTGGGTGTATAAAAGCGTCTGTGTGTAAAAGCGTTCTGTGTGCAAAAAGCGTTTGTGTGTAAAAAGCTTCTGTGTGTAAAAGCTTCTGTGTTTAAAAGCTTCTGTGTGTAAAAGTGTCTGTGTGTAAAATGGTCTGTGTGTAAAGGCGTCTGTGTGTAAAAGCGTCTGTGTGTAAAAGTGTTTGTGTGTAAAAGCGTCTGTGTGTAAAAGCTGCTGTGTGTAAAAGCGTCTGTGTGTAAAAGCTTCTGTGTGTAAAAACGTCTCTTTATAAAAGCGTCGCGTTTCTTCACATCCGAGGAATGATGGTACCGAGCTTTTTCGACAATGTGTGTAGGCATTGCCATAGTAAAATGAGATAACACATGTCATTCGCAGCATCATGGTACCGAGCCGCCTGTGCACTTTTGTTGCTCACATTATATTTCTCCATGTTTTCTTTCTATCTCCCTTTCCTTCTCTCTCTCTCTCTCTCTCTCTCCCCCTCTTTCTCTCTCTCTCTCTCTCTCTCACCCTCTCCCTCTTTCTCTCTCTCCGTCTCCCTCTCTCTCTCTCTCTCGTCTCTATCTATGTCTCTCTGTGGTTGCAAGACACGTGTCATCTAATGCCGTTTACCAAATATCCTCTTCTTAATCAATCTTACTTTTCACACCTTATCCCTCCATAGCTCATATAAAATTCACCAACCATTCACCGACTATCTTTTACGACTACCATCCTCAGAGCTGCTTGAAAAACATTTTTTTCGCTCTCGGGCCAACCGTCGTCTAGTTTGTTTAAAAAAAGGCAAACAGATAAAGTATCGGACGAAATGGGATACCTTTTTTTAGACACACCCATGCAAGGGTGAGATCACTGAACTTGGAGGATTTAGGCTTATCAGCCACGTGCACTTCGATGAACATTGTGATAGCACCAAAATAAAGACAGTTTTGATGCATTTGGGTATCAGTTCGTGACCTTTTTCCAAAACACCTGTGATTTTTAGCCATGGTTTGAAAATTGGTTTCACCATGATTGTTTGGGTTCGAAGTTTCCGGATCCGATTTGCCCCCCCCCAAATCTAAGTTTCAGTGTTTCCTCTACCAGAGCCCTCAAAGTGGCTCTAATTAAGTTCATAAAATTGGATCCCCTAAGTGACGCTAATTTATATGTGACCTATGCTAACAGGCCACTTTTATGGTGGGTACTGAAAAAGGGTGCTGGTAGATAAAGTCTCATCAAAATATCAGTGTTTCCTCTACACAAAAGTCACACTTCGCAGGTCATTGAACCTAAGTTCTCCAAACGCGCCAAAGGTGCAGCCCGATCGTGGGAATGAATCCATAGTTCCCCTCTGGACATCTAATCTGGCAGCCAGGGAAGTCCCTGTTGTTTGCGGGAAAATATGGAAAAATGGTAAAAGGGGGATACTGGGACAGTTTATGTTAATATGTTGGCTGTTATGGTTTTTATGTTCTTGTTCAATGTTTCATCCTCGCCTTTGATGTTTTTTCAGGTGGGGGTTCTGGGGATTATTTCTTGCTAACTTTCACTTCATTGGGTTTGTTTAGGGCGTCGGACTTTATGTGAGGTAGTGTCCATTCAGGTTCTGTTGATGTTTGATGCTTAGATTGTGATGATTGTGCCTGTTTATTATATATTTTCTCACTATAAATCCACACAAAGGACATGCAGTTGTTCTTTTTTATCACTTAGTTCTTCCTTTTGGCGTTCATCGTATTCTTGAGCATTGCTTTATTGTTTCATTGATTTGTTTCCTCCATGTGTTGTTCTCCGTATCTCTGTCTTTTTTATAAACATACATTACATTGCTGACATTTATTTTTAGTTGCTGAAAGACTTTTACTCTTGGAATATTGTTTTTTGTCAGTCATTAAATCCCTATAAGTTCAAAGGCTTATGTCTTTAAGTGGTGTTTCAAAGTATTGTTGAATTGCGTGAGTGGGGTGTGTTCCGATTTGGAAATCCAACAAGTGGTGGAACAGTTTTCTTACATGTCCAAAATGTATTTCCTCGTTTTCCTCTACTCATGAATTTTGTTTCTCATTGTGTATCCTTAGCAAGCACATGTTGAAGGGGTCAAAAGCACGGCCCAAGAGTCAAAGCTGAACATTGTCGACCGACACGAACTGAATTGACTGAGACTGAGATGATTTCCCTGGTGAAACATCTTATCAAAAAAGGTTTTTGTTTGTGGAATGTAATCTCAAGGCATCTCCAGAGGTAAAGGTTTCTGAAGTGACATGTTGATATGAACTGTGTGGGAAATTGTGTTAGAAAGGTTTTTAAGGTTTGGAGAAACAGTAAAAGAAAACTTGATTTTTTGACAGACACGTTGACTAAGTTGACCGATATATTGAACCTTCAAAAAATCCAA